GGCAAGCCACTACAGTATTAAAATTTTAAACGTTGCCGGGAAAGTTAAGCAACTCGTTGCTGGGTTCTTTTGGAAATTTTTTTGCAATTAAATTATAGAATACAGTATTGAATCAAAGAACCCCACGATCGAGGGTGTAAGATGTAAGTGCCCCGTGTGCCATTCATTATACAATATTCTTATTTTATAAAATACATTTTCATTGTGTAGCTACTAATTATTTTCATTGTGTAGCTACTAATTAAAATTAATATGCGCTGAGAATAAATTTAATTAAATACGACCGCTAATTAATTATGAAATTTTAATAATTATTGCTTATTTTTTTAATTATTAAAAGTTAAATGTATAAGTTATTTAATAAATATTTTAATTTAAATCATAACTCATAAAGAATTTTTATAAAAATTAAATTAAATTCATTCAATAAGATCATTAATTATTAAAATATTAATTTTTTTTTATAAAAAGCATTTAAAATTATTATTGTAAATTTTTAAAATATTATTATTATTATTATAAATAATTAATACAAATTGAAGACCGAAAGCAAATAAAATTTGCTGTTTCCTTAAATCCTTTCCAAGCAAGGGACACAATTAACACTGACAGATTCGACCTTTCCTTTGAGACTTTTTAAAATTAATACGTAAATTAATTTACGTAATTGTAGGCAGGGAAGAGCATCAAAGGAAAGGTCAAATCTGAAAGATTTAAGAAAACAGCAAATTTTATTTATGTTTAGTCTTCAATTTGTATCATTTTTAAATATATTTTATCCTTGTACATAAATTTATTATTTTAGAAAACTGTATAAAAGATCTCCGTGTTCCTGAGATTTTTCCCGTTTAGGTAGGTTTCCGTTTTAGACAGGTTTTACTGTATTTGAGCTATTGAATATATTATTAGATTATTCTTTATTCAAAAGATATGTGACAATGCTCAATGAGCAAAATAAAGCACTCCTACATTAAAAAAAAAACCTAATTAAAATCAATAAAAAGAAATAAAAGTTTGTTAATAGCTAGATTGTACTATATTATAAAAAAATGTTAGTCAAATTTTAGATTATTTTCTGATAGACACACATCATCCCTATGATTAGTATTTATCTTTCAGCTCTTATATTATTTTCTATTTAATTATATAACTTGTTAAATTACTCGAGTTATAGAATTATTTTAAAATTGTTTTCGGTATTACAAAATTGATAAAAATAACTCATTGTGAATACAGTAAATCGAATTAAAACTCAGTGTTTCGTAATAATATACAGCCTAGTTTGGTCATCGATAAAATAGAATTTCGGTTATTAAAAAAACAAAAATTCCATTAACGAGTTGCGTAACTTTCCCGGAAAGAGTTAAAATTGTACGTGTTGCCATTTGTTACGATATTTTACTAAAAAAAAAAACGTTTTATATTATTATCATCAAATGATATAAAGCTTAATTTTTAGGGTAGAGATGACTTTTTATAAAATATTTATTATATATTTATTATAATAAAAATTGTAAATGCTTATAATGAGCAAAATCTTCATTAAGACCGACCCCACTCCAACCCTCTATCACCCCACCCCCTTGACATTTAATCACGAAAATTTAATAAACAAATCTCTCTGCAAAATTTCAGAAATTTTATGCATTATATAGGAATTATTAAGCTTTAAAGTGAGTGAAAAAATTATGCTCCCCGCATACAGGAACATCCATACATACAGGAATAAACTCCAATTTTTTTTTTGGATTTCTCGACGTTTCAATATAAAAATTATGGTATATTTTATGGTAAGTATGATTTATTTTAAAGTAATTATAGATAATTAATTAAACATTTATACAAAATTTTCTCAAAAATTTTTAAACTTTCAAGTAGATTAAAAATAGATTAATTTCCGTGTGAATTTTATCATCGATCAATTTTAAATGTTTATTTAATAAAAATTCATATATGAAATTAATTTATAAATAATAATGACATTTACTAATAAATATAAACAATATTAAATATTAAAAAAAGTATTTATAAAATTATTTATTCAAAATTCTATTTCATAAATTATATATATTTATTCTCTGTAAAATATAAAAGTGATAAATGGCTTCTATTAAAAGGAACGAATGAAATTCTATTTTATCATTAAAATAATATTTAAAACAGCTTTCAAATATGATGTTTCCTATAATTCCCTGTTAAAAATTATAATTTTGTTACAGTTAATATAATTTATATAAATTTAATTTAAAGAATTAAAGTTTACAGTAAAATGAGAAAATGTGACTTTTATAATTGTAAAATATGTTGTAATTTTAATATGTAGTAGTATAAATTTTATAGTGGACTTTTGATATAGTTAATGGCTTGAGAGTTCACTACATCGACAGTCTACTGTGTACTTGAATATGAATTTACGTAGTATACAGTAAACTGATGCGTTATATTGTATTATAAAATCTTTATGCAGTTAAATACGAATTTATAAAATGATTTTTTACGCTAATGGTTAACAATTTAGAATTACTATTATTATATTTTAAATTTTATTTGATAATATAGAAGGCGATTCTTTATCTTCGAATCATTATAGTATAACTTCAGATTAATTTATGAACCTGTGTCTACTCACTTACCTAAAATAGAAGTTAAACAAAAAATGTACAATTGTTTCTACTCAGACGAAGGTTTTGTAAATATACAAATTTTAAAATGTAAACTTCATAGAAGCAAAAATAACATTCATTCACGTACAGTACAGTATAACCTGCTAATGCGAACACCCGTGCTATTAGATGACCACTTTGGGTTGGTTCTTTCAGTGGTCACATTAGCAGGTTTCACTGTATTTGAGGAAAGCTTTAAAAACGCATTGAGGTTCTATTAAGACATAAATATTAAATCCTATCTTTCAGTTATCTAGTAAATTCCACTATCAATTTAAATTTTAATTCAAAATATAATGTTACATAAACAAAATTAACATTCTTTTCAATCAGAAAATAATAGGTATTAACTTAAATTCGTCCATTTTAAATATTTTTACGCTTTAAGGATATTCATACATAGTTTTAGAAATAAATTCCTGTACTAAGGGCGTGCACAGACGGAGGCAAACAGGGCATTTTCTCCTCATTGAAATCGAGTAAAAAATTCCCAAAATTATAATCGAAAAATATAAATTTATACCTTCGATCACGGAATCCTTTATCTATCTTAAAATTTCTTCTCTGCCTTGAAAAAACCCAAAAGATTAAATAATTAAATAAAAATTTATTAATGTAATTATTTGTTTCCAAGCTTTACATCCTGGAAAACTACGGATTCCAATGTCCAGTACATCAGTTTGCATTCTAAATTAGAAAAAAAAAAAAATAATAATAATTCTATTTTGCAGACACTTAAACGCCAGACGTAGTCATATAAAATTACGATAATAAGCGAAAAAGTTCTAATTAAACAAAATTTCAAGCAGATCTCTCTCTTTTTTTTTTTCTATTCTTGTTGCGTTATCGTTTTGTTATCACATATATTTAATTAAAACTCATTATGATGTTGATGTATAAAACCCATTTTTCTCGATCATTCGAGTACAAAAAATTTAATTTTTTTTTTCTCTTTTAAATATTCTCTTTTACGTTTTACGAGTCACTAATTTGATAAAAAATAATTTCTAATTATCAGATTAATATTACAATTTAGTTTATATCTATAATATAAAGGCATTAATTATATTCGAAGAATAAAATTTGAATATATATTATTGTGACAATACCGGGCTACAACTTTTAATTACATTTTAATTTTAAAAAAATTATGTAATTT